GCAAGACCATCAGGCGGGGTGTCCATGTTGTGAGGCTGAGCTTGAGACGGCGAATCACCTCATTTTCGGATGCCCTTTCGCAGTTCAGTTCTGGCGGTGCCTCGGCCTGTCGGCGGTGGGGGCGACGGTGGGGTCTCTTCACTGCTTCGATGCGTCCCCCGCTGCCGGTGCTGCATCGCGTGCCTCCTTCGTCCTTTTTTAGAGAAAAGGCCAGAGCCCGACTTTATAAATAAAGCCATACGGCAGCGTCATGACATCGAACAGGAAAGAGACCAGCTAGCGGAACACCGCAAACAGTGCACCAAGCAAACAATTTGAGACCGACAAAACACGAAGGGATACAGGCATCATGCCAAACACGGCGCGCAGGCCGGGAGGGAGAGAAACCTAAACTCCGCAAACAGCAACCCCAAGATTAGACGACGGGATCTCGCCCGGAGATGAGGGATGCCGAAGCCCGAATTTTGTCGATGAGCAGGTCCAGGGCATCCCGATCTTCCTCCTTAGTCAATGATCTCCACTGCTACAATAGTATACATGATTTGAAAAGAACGTCAGCAGGCTTAGATGGGAAGATATGTTCAATAGTAAATTTGTTCCTAATAGTCCAAAGAGCCCAGCACAAGGCTCCTAGGCCGACCCAAAACACCCTCTTGGTAACCCCAACCAAAACTTTGGCTAGGTTTCAAATATTGGAGAAAGAGGAGGGGTTCCAAGAAACCTGTAACCAAGATCTGACACAACACCAAACTAACTTGGCCAGCACGCAATTGAAAAAGATGTGATCCTCCGTCCTCCTTTGCTACTGGAGGCTCTGGAAGCGGTGAGACGTCGTCGTCTTCAGGAATGACTTACAATCTCTTGCGGCCACCTTCAAAGCCTATCGCGACGACGCCATGCTTTGGCGTGCTCGGCTGGCGAAGGGAGATCGCACCCACATTGATGTCTGGCTGTCTGGCCTTAGGTGTGGGTAGTGAGACTTGGTTTGTGAGGCGTGCGTGAAAACTTGTATGCCTCCCCCTCCCTCTTCCTTGTAAATCTGATCACTCTGGGGCTTTGGTCCCCCTTTTGGGTAATATATTCAACTGGCGGAGCCCCCTCCCCCTCCCTCTTCCTTGTGAATTTGATCACTCTGGGGATTTGGTCCCCTTTTTTGGGTAATATATTCAGCTGGCGGAGCCCCCCCCCTTTGAAAATCTCATTGGGTTAGATAATTAAAGACGAGAGAGATGGTTTGCTTGCACTTTTTCAATGCATTTCTTGTTTCACTTCACAATTTGTTCTAAAATTGGCCTCCCCTCCCCTCGCGTCGCCTCCCCTGGGCGACACTAGGGGTCCCTCAACCCTAGCACCGCAGGCCTCCCCTCGCACATCTTCCTACTGCCGCTGCCGCCATCGTGGGCCGTGATGGCGGCGGGCCCGGTGCCGAAGGCACCTAGGCGGGCGGAGGCTGTGAGATCTCATCTGAGGCAGCAGGGGTGGCACCTCTCGTGGGAGTCCGAGGGCGGTGGCTAGGGCGGCGACCCTATGCCACGCGGCGGTGGTCGCAGTTCCATGGCCGGCGGGGCGGCAGCCCTGAGATGGATGGCGGCGGTGGTAGCACCTCATCCCGCGGGGTTGGTTGATCTATGCGGAGATGGTGACGGCGGCGGCTGCGAATCCAACGCCCCAATTGGATCCGCCGCGGGGTGGCCTTGCGCCGACCGATGGCACATGGAGGGACTGGTGAGGAGATGACGGATCTCCGCCGGAGTACTGACGGAGGCGTACGTCTTCGTGGCGAGGCTCTGCTCGGTTCCAGCCAGCCTAGAGAGATCGGGGCGACGTGGCTTCCGGTGAAAATTGCGCCTGACTGTGGTCTTGGGGACGATGGCGGCGTCTCGGATGTCGTTCCCTTCTCGAGGCATCGTCGTTGTAGATCACGTCAACCTGATCTGGATGTTCCGGGGGAAACCCTAGATCTGGGTCTATCGGATTAGACGATGACGGCGCTTTCGGTGTCGTTCTCCCTTCTGGGGGCATCATTTTGGAGCAAGTGCTGGCCGGAGGGGACAAAAGGAAGAGCGGTGTTTCATCTTGCCCATTTATGGCAGCTGATCTCGGCGGCGTGGCGCAGTGGAGACTCGGCGCCCGATGCGCGGAGATGGACTCGCGCAGGATGATGGCATTGTCTGGCGTCGTGGTGGCGTCGACGGCAGCTAGGCCGGGCAAGGTAGATTCAATAGTACAACATTGAGGATGGATTGGTGGCAGGTGGTTGCGGCGGCCTCATACCCGGCAGACGTCCTGGTTGAGGAGTGGCCGGACTGGTAGGTGCCCCATACCCCGCAGGCGTCCTGGTTGTGACCTCAGGTCTTAGATGTTAGGATTGGCTGCGAGGTATGTTTGATACTAGACCCAGACTATCAGCATCCCTTCATCAATTGGATAGGAGTAACGACAGTTTTGTTGCCTAGACGATGGCTTCAGTCTTATTGTTGTATGACTTTGTAAGATCTTGTGTGAATAATTAATAAAGTGACTACATGCATCGTCCAGATGCAGAGGCCGGGGGTCCTCTTCCATTTCAAAAAAAAATTGTTCCAAAAAATTTATATGTATACTTTTCACCACATGGATATGTTTTGAAACATTTAAGATTTGGATTGACAACAAAATGAGGCACCTTAAGACTAGCCACAATGGATAGTAAGATAGAGTAGTAACATGCCCATGTTACTACTCTATGTTACTATTTTTATAATGGGGAGTAACATATGTGTGGCAACATACGCAACACTTTATTTATTAAGCTATAGACTCATTTTGCCTTGATATGTACGATGTTATTCATACTATTATGCTAGTCATAGTGGGAGTAACATAAGTAGTAACATAGATGCCACATAAGCAAAAAAGATGATGTGTCATGTAATTAAAGAGGAGAGAGACAAATAGAGTAACATATTATGTTACCATAACATAGCGGTTCCCAATACAAAATGAGTCTACAAAGCAATAAATGAAGACATGTATGTTACTACATATATGACACTTCCCACTATGAAGGTAGTAACATGGACTAGTAACATATGTATATTACTAGTCTAAGTTACTCCCCACTATGACCAGCCTTAGGCTAGCCATAGTGGGAGTAACTTAGGTAGTAACATAACACATCCCAAGAAAAAATTGCTTATGTGGCATAGAGTTAATGAGGAAAGAGATGCTTGTGGTAACATAATATGTTACTGTAACATAACACATCCCGAGGTAAAATGAGTCTATATCTCATTTAATGAAGGCTTGTATGTTACCATCCATATGTTACTACCCATTATGAAGGTAGCAACATAGACTAGTAACATATGCATGTTACTAGTCTAAGTTACTCCCCACTATGACCAGCCTTAGTAATTAGCTATGTTATCACATGTCTTTTTTTCTTCATTTATTGATTGCCACATCACCTATTTTATCTAGATATGTGTGATGTTATTATCTATGTTAACTCTTTCACGCCACAATTATTGTCTGGCCACTCCGCGAAAGCTTGACACGTCGACTCTGACACTGCGGTGATAATATGCAGGTTCGGCATCCAAATGGCTGATCAAGGACAGCAACAACCTCTGATCCCGATCGGTGGCTTTGCATCCAAATGTCTAACCTTGAGGCAACAGATTCTTGCTCCGCCATACAGCTAATGCCATCCTCATTGTCTCCTCACTCCTTTTCTATTTGGGGGCTCATTGTCTCCTCACTCCGTTAATTTTATTTCCTCGTCGTGTACGCGACCGTGGGAGCAACAACTGTGATGGTCTGGAGTATTGTACCGATACATACAACCAATACGACTGTGAGTATACATACATACGTCAGGTCACATTTTACCCTGCTAGCTTCTTAAATACAATGGCATGCAAGTCCATGGCAGCAGTCAGCGAAAGGACGAGCACAAACTGAGGCGGAGCGGCGTTTGGAAAACAAGGCGGGTTGAGTTGGAGTCAGGGTACGCTTGCCCGAAAATACTCTCCTGTCGACACCTCGGCAAGTTTCCTCCTCCTCCTACTAGTTTGCTTCAGCTGACAACGTTGGGGTTGTTTGGTTTGAGACTAAGTTTGCCAAAGCTTGCCACATCTAAGGTTAGGCAAAATTTGATCAATTTAGGTGTGTGTTTGGTTCAAGCCACACTATGGTCCCACATCACATATACACAACAAATATGGCAAGATTTTCTTAGGCTTGCCAACTTGCGGCTCTCATTTTAAAGAACTAACTTTAAACAAGTTTAGCAACATTGTATGGCAAAATGTGGCACTCTTAGACCTAGAACCAAACAAACCCAACATCCTCCGGCCGCAACCAAAATTTCGGCCCCGAAAACTTGAGAAACCCAACCATCATCAGATGAGATTCACATGAAAGAAGAAGGCAATAATCAAAGCAGATAGGGACTTCTTTTCCCTTGGCGTCCCATTCCATCCAAATCAACCAACAGCGTCTCGTCAGCTGAAAAAAAATGAGAGAGAGAGAGAGCTCGGCCCGCAAAAGTCCAAGGGAATATCAGCGGCCGCGCTACGCGACAAGGCGCCTGCCATGCTCGGCCCCCCGGTTGAGTCCACTCGCCAGATGCCGCGCCAGCCCCCACGTGTACGACAGCGATCCCTCCGCGTCACCGGGGTAACCTCACCGGCGTCGCCCGTCAGCCGGCCGACCCTCCCCCACCCCCAACTTAATGCACCGCTCTCTGCTCCCTTGCTTGCTCGCCTCTCCTCCCTCTTTTTCATACTTGCTCCGGCCGGCTTCATCTGCTCTCTGCTCCCCCACCCTTCCTCATCAGCTTCCCACGCAAGCCCGTCGCGTCCACGACCGGTGGTTGCCACGCCCGCGACTGGCCGGTGGCGATTGCGCGCGCGCGCTTTTATGCTCCACGCAGCTCGCTTCTTCTTCTTGGACTCTTGTAGCAGCGCGGCTAGCGGTGGTGCACCCGGCCCCGGAAGGAAGATTCTGCTGCTGCCATGGAGGTCGACACATCGTCCGCGACGGCCAAGAGCGGCGGGGCGCCGCCGCTGCCGCCGCCCGGCCCGCCCGCCAAGAAGAAGCGTGCTCTCCCCGGCATGCCAGGTGATTACTCTATTTAATTAACCTCTTGCGATTGACCGAAAGCGCGAGCTGAGGCTGCTTAATTTACCGAGCGAGCGAGGCTCTTGTTGGCTTGTGGGGGTGATCTTGGTTCGTGCACACACGCAGATCCCGACGCGGAGGTGATCGCGCTGTCGCCCAAGACGCTGATGGCGACCAACCGGTTCGTGTGCGAGATCTGCAACAAGGGGTTCCAGCGGGACCAGAACCTGCAGCTGCACCGGCGGGGCCACAACCTGCCGTGGAAGCTCCGGCAGCGGAGCGGCAAGGAGGTGCGCAAGCGGGTGTACGTGTGCCCGGAGTCGAGCTGCGTGCACCACGACCCCTCCCGCGCCCTCGGCGACCTCACCGGCATCAAGAAGCACTTCTGCCGCAAGCACGGCGAGAAGAAGTGGAAGTGCGAAAAGTGCTCCAAGAAGTACGCCGTGCAGTCCGACTGGAAGGCGCACACCAAGACCTGCGGCTCCCGCGAGTACCGCTGCGACTGCGGCACCCTCTTCTCCAGGTCCGTCTCCGTCTCCGCCCCTCCCTCCCTCCTCGCCGCCACCAATTTGCTTCTTCCACTATCCATTTACTGACTGACTGACTGACTGACTGACAAATTGGCGGCGCGTGCGTGCAGGAGGGACAGCTTCATCACCCACCGCGCCTTCTGCGACGCGCTGGCAGAGGAGAGCGCCAAGGCGCGCGCGCCGCCGCCGGAGGACGGGAGCTCAGGCGCTGCTGGCCCGCCGGCCCTACCGCCGCCGCAGGCACCACCACCAGCCGCTCCGATGCCACTGCAACAGCTGCCGCCGGCGCCGGCCCCGGCGCCCGCGCCGCAGCAGCACGTGGAGCAAGGTAATGGTCAACGCACTACTATTCATCCGTCCATTTTAGCTGCTCTCGCTCTGGTCAGGTCAAAATTGACAGTACTGGAGGTGCTGCCGCTTTGACCACTGCGTTAGTATGTTTTGGAGCGTCATGGTGTTTGTAAGATTGCGTGACGGGGAAGAAGGATTTTACTGTGGTGGATTTTTGTCTGGAATGAAACCGAGACCGAGAGATCTCCCCAAAAAATGCAGTTTTTGTCCGAGAGCTAGGGGGAGCAGTGACCGAGTACATACATGTTCTTGCACGCCCGCATCTCGAAATCCAATTGATTAGTAAGTTTACACACGCGTTGAATTCATAGAGAGAGAGAGAATTCAGATTCATTTTTGGGAGCATAGTGATCCTACTTGATGGCTTCTTTTTGGATCGTGTAAAGGTCTGTGTGAGTTGTGAGTTCTGATTAGTGGCTTTGTGATGCAATCCCAGTTGAAGTGCAGAACCTTTCTGGAGTTTGGACTTTGGGAACTTCGAATCATCATCAGCCGAGAAAGAGAAAAGTAGCCCACGAACACACGAAAAAGAGCCCCATCATGACTAGGCTCGCTCCTCCCTTTGCTTTCTGGCCCTGTCTCTCTCTATTGCACGAGCTTTTAGCGCTTAACATTTTAATTCGTTTAATTTTATGTCTGTGATCTGAATCTTGCCGCTGATTTGCTGAGACATTTGTGGTTCATGCAGAGCGGGAGATCGGCGCTGCCGCGCCTGAGTCCGTCGTCCAGTACGCGCCGCCGGCGCCGCCGATGCCGTCCCCGCCCTCAGTCAACGGCGCCAATGTCAGTGCCAGCACCAGCAGCGTCTCGGCCACGTCGCAGAGCCTCCTCGGCAGCATGTTCGCGCCGTCTTCCGTGGCCCAGGCGCCGCAGTACCCGGAGCGCGCACTGGCCGCCAAGCCCCCGTCGCTGTGCCTCGCGACCGATGCTGCGTCCGCCCAGTTCTCGGCCCCTGCGGCTGACCGGCAACAGCAGCAGCAGCTCCCGCCGCCGTCGCCGTCCCCGTCGGCGCACATGTCGGCCACGGCGCTGCTGCAGAAGGCGGCGCAGATGGGCGCCACCTCGTCGAGCTCCTCGTTCCTGCGTGGGCTGGGCCTCGACATCTCGTCGTCCTCGCCGGCGTCGACGTCGTCAGGTCAGCAGCAGCACCACCACCAGCAACACCACCAAGAAGCCATGCAGATGCAGTTCCCGGAGGGGTCGCTGCAGCAATGGCCGCCGCGGTTGGAGCCCGAGCCAGCCCCGATGATGTCGGCCGGGCTGGGCCTCGGGCTGCCATACGACTCGACCGGCGGTCCGATGGGGTTGCCGGAGCTCATGATGGGCCAGTCGTCACTGTTCAGCGCCAAGCCAGCCACGCTGGACTTCCTGGGGCTGGGGATGAGCCCCACGGGCGCGACCACGAGCAGGGGCCTCCCGGTGTTCATGCAGCCCATGGGCGGCGCAGTCGGCATGGCCCGGAGCGGCAGCGGCGCCGCCGAGACGTTCGGCGCCGGCCGGGGCGCTCAGGCGAAGCCGTGGGAGAGGAACCCGAGCAGCTCACCAATCCTGTAAAATGCCACTAGCACTGCTGGGCAGTAGTAGTAACACGTAGCACAGCAGCTGTGAATCGGCCAGGTTACGCTTAATCAATTAGCAGCAGCTAGCCAGTCCTTCGCCGTTCTTTTGTTTCTTAGGTTACAACCAAGCAAGTTACTTTTGTTCCTTTAGGCTTCAGCTTAGTACGAACGCCTGGCCTGCCCTGCGCTGCCCTGAAGCAAAGTTTCTTTTGAAGTTCACACACCAGTCAGTGTCTTTCTCCATCAGCTCTTCTCTGCTTTGTCGTTTGCACTTGTTTCCCCTTGTTTGCTTCCTTGTTCTTGTCACCTTGCTGCCACTGGCCCCTGCATTTGAGCGCGGCACTAGAGCAGCACAGTGCGTAAGTGGAATTTAATTTGGTGACCACCTGACCTGCTGCCTGCCTTCGGCCGGGAGATGATAAAAGCATTCAAACTATGCCCCCAAATGATATTGGGCGTGCATCGTCATGTCACCAGATTGGCACAATTCTCTCCCCCAGCTTGCGATGGTTATGAATGCTGCTAACTTGTGTGGGCGCCAGGTGCATGCATGGGTTGGTGACTCATGCTTTAAGTTGGTCAGGTGTTGCATACTTCTGTGGAAGTAGTAGTACTAGTAGTTGGGTGCATGACGAGCTCCATCAATGGTTTATGGCCGGCCTCATCTTTCAGATAATTGTACCAGCATCCTAAATTTCATATTCCGAGTAACTTAAGTCCATTATTGGCGATGCGCCTATGATGTTTAATGTGATGGCGCTGGACGGATTTTTTTTTTGGTACGATTAGGTGCGCGTCCTCTTCCAGGACAATGTCACCCTGAATAATTGGCACCACAAGGAAGCGTAGGGAAGCAAATACTCTGCAGCGGCAGGTCGTGTTCACATGGAATAATTGGTTGTTCGAACAGTGGATTCTGTGCATCGATGCAATGTCACCCTGAAGTTTACGACACATGATATCGTTATGTGCAAGTCCAACCGTGCAAGCAAAGCTTAGGGCATCTCTAGCCGATCCATCATATCTTCGATCATCAAAATCAGAAGCGTCATTTTTTCGATCATCAAAATCACTACGGATGCAATCCCTCATAGCTGTGAAAGCTTCAGAGCCCACGCGCAAACTCGTTATCGTTATAATACACCTTGAACCTTCAAATTTTCCTTGTGTGTGGGAAACGTGGGAAACGTGTGCCATTGCCACATAGCACGCATAAATTCATAGGTAATATTGCCATCAAATGATTCATTGAAGGAGATTCTACAAGCAAAACTGAACTAGGACTACAAACGATTTATGTATAGGGGCGGAAACTAAGTTGCGCTTCGACTTAAGTACATATACATAATTAACTAGAATGGCGTTTTGGCTCAAGGCCTCCATGGAGGCCATTTTTTCTAAAAAAAATCAAAATTCAAAATTTTCAGTTTCAAGAAAATCTGATTTTTTTTTTACATGTAAACAAGGTGTGACAGGTTTGTGTGTATAATTTCAGGATGAAATAAGTTGACATGCAACCTATCCAAAAAAGACAAATTCATGGTCTAGAAGGATTAATAGTGTCATGTGTTAAAAAGCCTCATTGTTGTCTTTTTGCACAACCCTCATTTCAACGTATTTCATCATGAAAATTTACACACTTGTGCCCTATGTATTCATCTATCTCTGTATTAGTTTTTTCAGATTATTTTGGAATGTAAAAATATGAATTTTCACAAATTTTGAATTTTGCATTTGGAGGCCTCCATGAAGCTGGCCTCCAAAACCAATTTCAGAAATTAACTATAGTAATGAAGTGGAATTTGTTGTGTCGGTAGCGGCGGAACATGTCAGTGTTGGACATACCGGCGCTGAATGTGGCATTGCAGGACACCATGGTGTTGAAACGAGCTAGGGTAGCCTCGTTCCACTTCGTCCATGTGTCATTGTCGGCATCCGGGGTGGGCGTACGGTCCAACAGGTGTTAGGTCAACTTCACCGCGTGACCCATCCGTGATCCATCCGGTTCGAATTTGTCCGTTTAGGGTAAAATACGACCCAGCGGTAATACCCAAACGGACCGAGTTGTCTGTTGGACGCTTTTTTGTCCTTCCCAACCCCAAACCTAGAGCAAACTTGGTCCAAGAATGCTCCCAAATGGACAGAAAACGGACACTCTCCTCGTCCCTCTCGTCCGCTCATGTCCGCCCGTGCCTTCCCTCTGGCCCACAAATCAGAGACCGAGAGGCTGGACGGGATGCGCGGCCGCCGGGGCGCGGGCTGGGCGTGGCGCGTGGTGCCGGCCGCCGGGGCGTGGGCTGGGCGTGGCGCGTGGCGCCGGCCACCGAGGCGCGGGCTGGGCGCGGCGCCGGCCGCCGGGGCGCGGGCTGGGCGTGGGGCCAGCCAGCCCCCAGAGCGCATGCAGGGCGGGGCGCGGGGCGCGGGCACGGCAGCCCCAGGAGCCCGGCCACCGGGGCGCGGGCAAGGCAAGGCGCGGGCCGCCGGGGCACGCGGTGCCAGCCCCCGAGCGCGGCAGGCCGGGGCGTGGGGCGCGGGCCGCCGAGCACGTGGAGGAGCTGCCGGAGACGAGGAGCTCGGGGTGGACATGCTTAGAAAGGTTTCTAAAGTATGCATGCGAGAAAGCCTACGCATGTTCTTATAATTAAGGGTAATGGAACCGGAAACTATGGTGTTCCAAAAGTTGATGAGAAAAGATTGAAAACGGATATGGTGCCATACGCTTCAGCTGTTGAATCTCAATATATTACCATGACATAGTTCACGTATCTAGGTTGTTTTGGCAATGTCCAGTCCATATATAGATCACTGGAATGGACTCAAAGATATCGGCTTCATGCTGAAAGAAATAAATGCTCTCAAAAAATTATGAGTACAAAGACAGGAGTTGTGAAATGTATAGCGAATTCCACAATTGTCGCTAATTTTCACACTTGGAGTTTTGGTGTGGAAAAGCTCCAAAGAATGAAATAATTACCATCAATGCGATGCAAAATATGTTATAGCCTGATATGAGGCTGAGGGACAGGCAAAATGGTTAAGTATACCTGTACCCGGAGTTGATAATGGTTGACAACAGCGATTACTATTTTAAGTTTTTCCCTCCTATGACAACGAGTCAAGTGTTGACGCCAAACACACTGACACAGAATTATGCGTTGTAAAGGAGAAAGTCCGAAATTATGTAGAAATGCTTGAAGTATAAAAGCAACAGACAAGTGGTTGCAAATCTACTTATTAAAGACTTGCCGCCCAGTGTGTTCGAAGAACACACAGTCGACATGGGTTTTATGGTATAGTCTAAGATTTCCGGACAATAAAAGGGCCCAAGGTTAAAGAATCTGTTTCAAAACAGTGGAGTGTGTTGTAGGTGTTGATTCTGTCGGGAATGAACCGTGATGATGAGACATGCTCTACATGCAAATCTGTGATGGAACGAGTACTTTGAAAAGAGTTATTTCAAAGTATAAAGTTAAAAGTATAATGATGAGATCAAGGAGGAGAATGTTAGGTTGATGTGTCCACCAATAGGCCCAACGGCTCATTGGGCCCTTGACCGACGCCCTGATCGGGGGCGTCCAGCCTAAGCAAGGCTGGTGGGCCCCTGTCGCGCAGTGCTATAAAGAGAAGGTGGGGACCAGGGGCACGAGGTACGAGGTTCATCGCCGCCACTGTTCGCCACTCCTAACCCTAATCCGATCCAGAGGGAGGCACTGAAGCGACGGGAAGTGCCACCAGCCACTTCACCGAGCCACTTCACCGTCGACCTCTACGCCGAGCTCCCATCCGTTCACCACCGGCACCGGGAGCTCCTCTAGAGCCAAGGAGAAGGTAGCTGCTCCTCCTCCTTCCATCTCTCTGTACTCCCTCATGTACAGATCACAGACACACCGATCTACTCTGAATATCATGGCCTAGTCGATCCCATGGTTCTAACATGGCGAGCTTGAAGTTCGCCGACGGTGCTTCCTCGTCGTGCACATCTTCACCTTCCTTGATTGGTGGACTTTCTTCCTTGATGACGACGGCCATGGGATCTCGTGTTGGGTGATGCGTCATCGAGAGGAGTGGGAAACTTTAGGTGTTGTTTCCGGAGAAGTGGAGGCGCATGCACATGAGCGGCACGCAACAGGGAATGATGACGAGAATGGGCATTAGGGCAGCCGACAGACGGCGTGTGGCCATCAAGGGGTGCATTTTCGGAAGGAAACGCAACTATGTCATTGGTACCGGCGTGAAAGAGATGAAAGAGAAAGGATGATGGTCATGAAATTTTCGGTTCACGTGTGGTTAAATTTGGAGCGAGCTTCATCTGAACCCCGGCCCCGCCCAGCCTCCAAATATGTGGGCTCGAGGAGCTAATGTGGAGCGTTCTCTAATTATTTTGTTGATGGCGATCCATATGGCGCATATGCTAGAGTGGGTTTTTGAACCTTTCGTGCTTTTATATACACATAAATTATTTATACGTGGATGTTTTTACAAAAAAGAAGAAGCGATGCAATAGTCTAAAGACAAAGCGTTCAATAAGGATGTAATGCATGTGCACCGTCGACGGCAATGATCGTTTCAACAGTGAAGGCCAGATCACATGTTTTCACCTTAAAGATGGAATGATATTCCGGTCACCGTCTTGATGAGCAATCATTTGTGGGTTGCACCATCACTCTTTCAATCAACCTTACTATACGGAATTAGCAGCCAACAGCCACCACCATAACTTATCTTCAAGGGCGAACCAACCTATGGTTGAATGGTTAGTGAGACAGTGGTATTCCCAACCCATGAGGATTCAAATTCTGGTGCTCGCATTATTCCTAGATTTATTTCAGAATATTTGGTAATGCGTTTTCAGTGGGATAAAATGTTTCTGTCAACAACGAGGCGCCTACGACGACTTCGTAAATCTCAAGATGATATACTGGCTCAGTCTCTCATAGCAGCTCATGGGATAGGGTATGCGTGTGTACGTTTATAGAGATACGTGTATGCGAGTAT